TCGAGAAGAGAAGAGTCGAGAGGTACCGTCGATTGGAACTGGTTTTGAATCAAGAAAATCTCTCGGATGAGGTATCGTCGATTGGAACAGTCGAGAAGAGAAGAGTCGATGGTTGCCGTCGATGGAGTTGATGAAGGAAGCGATGGAGGCGAATGAAAAGGGGGATGGAACTGGAAGCGAGGTGATGAGCCGGGTAGGGGAAGAAGGGGTAATGAGGGAAAAAGTTTTGTGTTCCACTTAGTTCCAGGGGTAATGGTGGAACACGCGTGTCCCATGTTTGTCCAACTTAGTTCCACATTTAGCCACATCAAACGTAGGACAAATGTGTTTTGTCATGTGCTGTCCCACCCTGTCCAGCGTACCAAACGCACCCTAAATAATATATTTTTATAAGTTTAAGATTTGAGTGTCAATTAAAAATATTTGTTTTAAGGATAAAGTATGTCATTAATTATGAGGGGAGAATTAATTAGGGATAAAATTGTCTTTCTCTTAATTAAGAAGTAGAAGTGTGTAATTGTTTGTTTTTTAAGTATGGACATTTATTTTGAAATGAAATTAAGTAATAAGTAGTATCATTTAATTCATAGAATTGTATTTTTGTTAAACAATAAACTTATCCACTTCAAAATAATTTCTCTCTCATTTAATCTTCAATTCCTCTAACATTTTTTATACTCATCTAACCCAATATTTTTTTTAAATATCTTATCAAAAATATACATTTAATATTTTACCATATACTTTAAGATACATTTTTTATTTAATGTTTCGTTTTATTTTTTGTCTCTATTGATATAATACGATTTATGTGGTTTTGAGAAAAGACAATGTTTTTATCTTTAAATAAAAATAAATTTAAAAATATCATAATTTTTTTTTTTAAATATATCGATATTAATATCAAATGAACTATTTAAAAGTTTTCGTTTTTTTTGTACAGTTTCCTTAATTCCATTTTTTATTATAATTTAATTTAGATCTAATAACAAATATAATTTATTTTTGGCTTAACAGTATAATTTTTATAAAGATAATGATTATGTTATAACTCAATGATTATCCTAATTATATTTTAGACAAATAATATATTTATCATATATTTGATTATGTTTATCTGCAGTTAGTTATACGAAATAAAAAATGAAGCTTTAATAAGTTGTATTTACGTACAATTTACCTGTAATATTAAATTTTAAGTAATATGCAATTAATAAACAATACTTCATGCATAAATAATGATTTTAAGAGTTCTTGTCAAATATTTTATAATATAATATAGATATAGGTGGAAGTTCAAACGAGAACACTCATGTTTTACGATAATGGAAGAACATTTATGGGCCTCCAAATTATTTAACACATAAAATTAAAAGAATAAAGGTAATTTAATTAAGGATAATCATGTTATTTTGTATTTATTTGTAATTTTGATGACATCCTTATCTCTAAAATCACATATGTTGATCGGTATCAAATAATTATCACATAATGAATAGACAGACCGATGGATGTAGACTTGATCATCACGATTTTCGATTATCACAACATTATCACCTAGCTATCACAACAAAAATCACATAATTATTAGATGATTATCACATCATAAAAAGTCTTCATTTTATTAAATTATTATCACCACAAAATCAGATGATGATCACAATATTATCAACAACGAACACATCGAGATAAATAGTCTCTGATGATAATAAAACAATTTAAATGATAAGGATAAATTTAGGATAACAAAAAAATATAAATAAACACTAATTCATTTTCATTTATTCTAATTTTTATTCTATCCAATTGACAAAATAAGCTTAACCATTTACCATAATTAATTTAATTTCTTTTTCTCAAACAGATTGAAAAAGATTATGCCATGAAATTGCATTTCTTCATACAACTGTCATAGCATAAAACAAGATATGTAATGTAAATTAAATAATATAATAACTCACATGTTTTCATAGACCTAATATTTCATATTAATTTACAAATTAAATATGAAAAAACAATTACATATATATGTAAAACAACACATGAAATTTAATATGTATAAAATCTATAAAGGATTGATTATATAGTAGGTGTTTCATGATCCATTAATTTTGTTTTTTAATAAAACATCGGATAAATCATGGTTCTTTTTAATTGATAGTAAGAACATCTCTAACATATTCCTTAATTTTTTTTAAATTGATAATAAGAACATCTCTAACATATTCTTCAATTTTTTTTAATTGATAGTAAGAACATCTCTAACATATTCTTAAATATTGAAGAAGAGTTGTGAAACGCATAAGAAAAAATATCCACTTGAATACATTACATTTCAGGAGGATGTGATACAAACAGATCAGTCCCTGACTTCAACTTTTAACTTTCTCCCTCAATAATTGATTAACGACTTTCTTGCTTTGGTATGGAATCTTTTCCTTCAAATGGATATGATATTTACTATTTTAATCCTTCAACTATTCTGGCATGTACGTTTAAACACTTAATTTATATCACTATTTGATAGTGGCTTAATAATATTAAAGTGACTTATTTAGTAAGCTTTTATAGAAAGAGAGAGAGAGGAGGTTAATGTAGAAATCCAAGGTTTTTCCAAACCTATCATTCCCTATTAAAAAAATTGTTTATTTCATCTATAAAAAAAACTTTTTCAAACAAAAACTTTATGAATCTATATAGATATATTTGTCTACACATACAATTTTATCTATATTGAACTTAATAAAAAACCTACCAAACAACCAAGTTAGATTTAACAATCATAAACTAATTTATTAAAAAAATCAGTTATAAATAATAAATCATCTTAAAAAACTATAACTTCTTGTAAAATTATTTTAGGTTCAATAAATTTCAAGCTTTTTTTTTTCCTTTCAATTATGTGACTTGTATTTTAAAATAAAGATGAATTATTTGATGTTTTTTCTTATTAGGATTTTTATTATAGATTTGGTCCTTATGGTATTCAAGTTGTCTTGGTCATGGTTCATCTGACTAACGATGTTAAAATAAATATGTTAAATCAACGGTCATTTTGGCCTTTTAATCTATTTTTTTTTATCTTTTTCATATAAAAAAGGTAAAAACAATATTTTTATACACACACAATTCAAATCATAAACGATATCTTATTTTATTCACTCTAAATAAAATAACATATAATTTTATGATTTGATTGTTTAAATTGAAATTTTAATTACATTAAGACAATAAAATCATATTTTTCCTACCATTAAATTGTGTTTTATTATAATTAATTTTTTAATTTAATCAAATCAAATCATAAAACAATATCTTATTTTATTTATTTTGATATCATATATATATATATATATATATATATTGTTTTTTATTTTTTATAGGAAAAAGACAAAAAAAAAAAAAATAGGCAAACAAACTAAAATGACATCTGATTTAATTGATTTCACGAAGAATGTTAGTCAAATAGACAAGTTGAATACTACAAGAACCAAATCCATTAAAAACCTATGATAGTAAGAGAAAACATCAAAACATACAAACTAGATCCATAATTCAATGACCAAAAATCATATTTACCAAATGATTCAACTAAATTTTATTAAAAATGACAAGGAGTTATTGTTATCCTATCCTATCTTATCTGCCAACCCCAAGTATATATAGCCTTGTTACATTTGTAATTGTTTTTTACCTTTTACCCTTCAAATTTGATTTTGAACCTAATATAACGAAAATCTGCATTGGAGCAGGATGAGACGGTATTAAAACAGAGTTCCGTTAACTTAAGGACCAAAATGACATTAAATAGTCTTTTTTCATATCAACAGTTGTATATGTAAGTTGTAACTGTAGGCGACTACAATCCTTATCCAACTCTAATTCCCCTTGGTAATTGGTATCTATCCAAAACATTCTGCCTTCCAACAAATCATTATATAAACCCCACCCACGTCACAATCATCTTCAATACTATAGAAACCAACACTCATACAATCCAACCATGGAAGCCGCCGATGACGACGAGTGTCCCATCAAAGAAGTCGAGTTAACCGTCCCAAAAACCGATGATCCCTCCATTCCGGTGCTCACATTCAGAATGTGGGTTCTAGGTATCACATCCTGTGTGATTTTATCATTTGTCAACCAGTTTTATTGGTACAGAACCGAGCCATTGTCCATTAGCACAATAGCAGCACAAATAGCCACGCTTCCGATTGGTCACTTGATGGCTCGAACCATAACCACAAGGCTCTTCTTTAAAGGTCGATGGTGCGAGTTCACATTGAACCCTGGTCCCTTTAATATCAAATAACATGTTCCCATCACCATCTTTGCCAATTCTGGTGCTGGTACTGTTTACGCCACTTATATTTTGACTTCTCTGAAGCTCTTTTACAAGAAAGAATTGGCTTTTCTTCCCGCGTTCATTGTTATGCTCACCACCCAGGTACTAATGACTTTTCTTCTTCAAATCATTAATCTTTTGGATCTTTCTTTTATATACTAACTAATCACGATTTTGAACTCATGAATGCTATAGGTTTTGGGGTTTGGTTGGGCTGGACTTTTCAGGCTGTTTCTCGTTGAACCCGTCGAGATATGGTGGCCGGCGAACCTGGTTCAGGTCTCGTTGTTCAGGTATTTACACCTTTCATATATCATGACATGGTATCAGAACAGGGTAATGTAGTTTATAAAGGATCAACATCTTTATCTAAAAGTGTTACAATATCTTCATAGGAAGATTTTAAGTATTTACACACTTTTAAAATAAAGTGTCTTATTATATTAACTATTTTATATATCATTATTTGAAAAAGTGTCTGTAAATACACGATAGTCCTGTAAAAGATTTAGGATACTTTTCAAAAGTATCTTATAAAACAACTAACAAGACACTTTATTTTAATAACGTTATAAAAAAATTGTTAATACGCTTCTTATAAACCCATTGTTACGCATTTTAGATAGAATGTTGTATGGTTTGGTTCTATGTATAAACCTAAGTTCTATAAAGTATTGTATTAGAACGTTTAGACAATACAAGTGTCATGTAAAGTCAATTTTGTTGCAGTGGTTTAAGGATTTGACTCACTCTCTTTTGTCTTTGTAAATGCTTTTTAAAGAGAACTCAAAGGTGTTTAACACGGAATCTTGGATATAACGATTTTATACGATACTTACGCAGGTCGTTGCATGAAAAAGAAAAGAGACCGAAGAGTGGCACCACATGTACGCAGTTCTTCGTGATCGTTCTAATCTGCAGCTTTGCTTACTATATCTTTCCCGGATACCTCTTCCAGATGTTAACATCACTCTCTTGGATATGTTGGATTAACCGAAAGTCTGTTATCGTAAACCAACTCGGCTCGGGGTTAAACGGCCTCGGGATCGGTGCATTTGGACTGGATTGGACCACGATCGCGTCTTATCTCGGCAGTCCTCTAGCCAGTCCATGGTTCGCAACTGCAAATGTAGCCGCTGGGTTGTCTTATGATGTTTGTGGTCACACCCATAAGTTATTGGCTCAATATCTACCGAGCCAAGAACTTTCCATTTTACTCAATGGGACTCTTCAAAGCCGATGGTTCCGCTTACAACACTCGGGCCATCATTAATTCAAACTTTCAGCTCGATAAAGTTGCATACGATAAACAAGGCCAATTATACTGGAGTTCCTTCTTTGCCATGACTTATGGCCTCGGATTCGCCACACTTTCCGCAACAATTGTTCATGTCTTGCTTTTCAATGGACGGTAAGAGACTGCTTTATGGTAGTATCATTCAGATATATTCAGTTTTTTTGTTGATGGATGACACTTTGATGTGATCAGCGATATACTGGATAAGATGAAAGGGGAATTAGGAAAGAAGAAGAAGAAGAAGAAGAAGGAGGAGGTGGATGTACACACGATGCTTATGCGGGCATACAAACCGGTGCCATTGTGGTGGTTTCTGGTTATTCTCGTGTTGAATATCGCTCTTATTCTGTTCGTCTGCAGCCATTATGCGGCCACTCTTCAGCTGTGGTGGTGGGGTGTTTTGTTGGCTTGCGCCATCGCTATATCCTTCACCTTGCCCATTTGTATCATCACTGCCACCACAAACCAGGTAAGAAATATCACACCACATTCAGTCAAAACTATTTGTAAATTGTAGGTGAAACTAACTAGTGTTTGTTGAACAGACACCGGGTTTGAACGTCATCACCGAGTATATGATCGGTTATATGTATCCCGGACGTCCTGTTGCCAATATGTGCTTTAAAGTTTATGGATATATCAGCATGCATCAAGCTTTGACCTTTATTCAAGACTTGAAACTTGGACACTACATGAAGATACCACCTAGAGCATTGTTCATGGCTCAAGTAAGCTGTGATTTGATTACCATCCATCCAGACTCTCTTCTTTTTTGACATTTTTATTCTTCACAGGTTCTTGGAACGATCATATCGGTCATCGTATACCAAGTAACTGCATGGTTGCTAATGGCTGGCATCCCCAACCTCTGTAACACGGAATTGCTTCCAAAAGACAGCCAATGGAAGTGTCCAATGGACCATGTGTTCTACGATGCTTCTGTCATCTGGGGTCTTGTTGGTCCTCAACGAATCTTTGGGAACCTCGGAGTCTACCCTGCCATTAATTTCTTCTTTCTGGTTGGAGCCATTTTGCCGATTCCAGTTTGGATCGCTCACAAGTGTTACCCCAACAAGACTTGGATTCGATTTATCCATTTCCCGGTGTTGTTGGGCGCAACTTCTATGATGCCGCCGGCTTCTGCTGTCAACTACACTAGCTGGATGCTTGTTGCCTTTCTATCGGGTTATGTTGCTTTCACCTATTATCCCAAGGTGTGGCAACGTTATAACTATGTTCTTTCGGGTGGTCTTGATGCTAGGACGGCTTTCATGGGTATCTTGTTGTTTCTTGGGCTGCAAACCACCGGGGTTTCGGTTGATTGGTGGGGCAATAAACTCGACGGGTGCCCGCTCGCTACTTGTCCGACTGCCAAAGGCGTTGTCGTTCCCGGTTTTTAGTTAGAGCGCGTTTGGTTCGTAAAGAATTTGTTGGAATTGGAACCAAACGTACAGTTGATGAATAGTTTAGTGCAGAATGATTAAGAGACTCTGATGATAAAGTACAAAATGAAATATAATTGTTTGGTAATTGTTTACATTAAAATTAAGGAGCTGAATGATTAAAGGAGGCCTAAGATACAAAATTATCTGAAAGGTTTTGAAACCATTAAAAGTCAAACTTTTTTTGCCAAACAAGATTCAGCTTAACGATTTACAAACTACCTCTAAATGAAACTATCAAGAGGTTAACAAACCAACCCCACAAACAAAAAATTTCGTAACTAAACAAATTCAATCTATTCATCAATGAATATCGAATAAAGTATCACATTTGACTTTTGAATTCAATCACTAATATTCAATTTATACACGGAAAAAAGAACAAAATTATAAATAAAAGAAAAAGGAATTTTCAAAAAAAAGATGATTGTTCATGAAGAACATTCAAATGAGCCAAAATCTTAGCAGCAAGAGACTTCATACTATGGCTTCCTCTCTGTGTAATCTCAACTAATGCCATATGCGCCGTCGTTTTATACTTCTGCTTGTACTCCGGCTGCCGGAATATTCTCTCCAAAGCAATCAAAGCCTTCTCCTGCAACTTTACACTCGGCGAACTCAACAGCTTCACCATCTTCACAATCGCATCCCCGCTTTCCAACACCTTACTACCCTTCTGCAACAACTCGTTGTTGACTAAAGTCAGCAAAGCGTCGAGAGAAGCTTCAACGGCTCCGAAATCCGGTTCATCGAGCACTTTCGCAAGTGGAGTTACAGCATTAGCCTCGAGAAGACAGAACGATGACTCGATCGTGCAAATTCCCGAGTGGACCGTGCAACTTGTATCGGGTGTGGACACACAACAGCTAAAGAAATGCGATTTTCGCACCACGGGCCCGCTTAAGTTGTTGGAACTCTCGGAGAATTGGGCGAGTGAAATCGCTACGTTCTGTTTTGTTAACGGGCTTCCGTAGTCTAGTAACTGTACTAGAGTCGGGATGATGCCGGTTTCCGCCACCTTTTTTTGTAGTTCTTGATTCGTTGAAATGGTGAAACGGCAAAGAGCTCCGGATGCACTTTCAATCATGAGCTCGGGTTTTTGAATGCGACTAGAGAGGATGGAGATGATCGCTTGAAGTGTGCCCGCATCAACGATCCATTGAGTCATCTGCGGGGTTCTAGGAAGGCTCGAGATGATTTCCATTACAGCAATGCCCTCTTCGATGTTATCAGAAATATTTACGATTCTAAGCAAAGTCTCGATGCATTTAGACCCAACGTGTTCCACGAACGTTTCATCATCCCCGTCTTTCGTTAGGATGCAGAACAACTTCACGGCATTTGATCTAACGGTTTGATTTCCGTGTTCACATAACTGAACCAGGACTTGGACAGAAGATATCTAATAAAAATCGGAACATAAATTAGTAACTTCGAAGAGATACTACAACAAAAAATCGGCTTCATAGGACATCAAATATGTCTAAATATCCTAATAGACTACTTTATATGCGTCCTATGTGAAAGTGTTACAATAAGTTGATATAACGCTTTTGGGCATTCTAACAAGTTTTTCAGGACACTTTTAAACTAAAACGTCCTACTAACTTTCTTATGACGTTTATTTGAAAAAATGTCTAATAGAAACAAGTGTCCTGGAAAAAGACGTGTTTGTATTGTCAAAAGCATCCAATAAAAAACTAACAGGACGCTTTATTTAAAAAATGTCCTACAAAACAAGTAAGGACGCCCAAAAGGCTATTAGCTTATTGTAACACTATTATAAGAAGCACAATTGTTTGATCCAATGAACTTTAGTCCTATGAAGCAGTCTATTAGGACATTTAAACATTTTTAACGTCCAATAAAACTGATTTTGTTGTAGTGATAGTAAAATGACAATTTAAGTTGTAAGATTACGTGGAATCCCTCTCAAAACTCCCTCTAAAAGAGCCCTGACATATATATATGGATAGGTTCATTTGAGAAGTCCTAAGTGTGTGAGAAGTAGATAAGTGATCCTAGCCTTTGAATCAAATGATCAAATTATCTAGCGGCGGCGATAATCAAGATTGATCACGTTAACCATTGATCACTTCATCATCACCACCGACGACAACAACGGAAGTATGGTCGGTGATATACGATCTCGATCACGTTAACGATTCTATCATCGATTTCTCTCGATTCTTTCTCTACCATATATGGCAATTCTAGCTTATCAAAATTATCAAATTTCTTAATTTGGGAATTAATTAAATAGTTCATATATAAATCATTCGGGTCCATATATGAATCAGATAAATAGTTCATATCTGAATCACACGGGTTCATATGTGAATCAGTTAAACAGTTCATATGAAGGGTTAGGATCACTTCTCTACTCCTCATACATTTAGCACTTCTCAAATGAACCTCTCTCTCTCTCTCTCTCTCTCTCTCTCTATATATATATATATATATATATATATATATTAATAGAGGAAGAGTGCGGGAAAACCCCCAAAAAAATGAAAACTAAGGAACACTCAGGTAACCATTCATCTGGATGATATGCACATGTGCATACAAGTATTTGAAGTTCATTCTTGGTTTTTTATGCATGTGTGCATGTTAAGCACATGTGCATGTTAAGCACATGTGCATATATCGAACAAATTGCTTACAAATTACTTGTATGTAGATGTGCATACTATCCGGATGAACAACTACCAAGATGTTCCTATGTATCATTTTTGTGGTTTTCCCCTGACTTTGTATATATATATATATATATATATATATATATATCTA